TATATATATATATATATTTCTATATTTGTTTATTTATTTTTAACCCTAACCCTATTGTACACGCATACTGAAAGCCCCCTGTACCACAGTCAGATTCCTCGGGTGTCCAACATACTTGGTAAATAAAGCTGATTCTGATTCACTTCAAATGGATCCACAGTCTGCTTTTGAACTGGAACCCACCATTCGGGGCCAACCAGTTGGTCTGCAGGAGCCCTTATCGATATGGTCTGGACTGCAGTATGTTGAATGGAAAGAGGGGCCTGTATGGAGAGATAGAGCTAATATTCTTCTCGTTGGGGCCTTACAATGCAAGGTCATTCCATAGATCAGGAGATATACTCAGGCCACTCTTCTGTTCCCCCTGGTGCAAAACAGTGAACATGGAGATTTTCCAGCCCTAGCAACAGATAAACATACAGGAAAGGAGAGGAAGAGCAGAGCAGACCAGAGAGCCGGGTTGTTACCGTGGAGTACTGTTGAAGATAATGTGGTATGACACGTCATTTCGGTCTGACTGTTTTAACACAAGCTGCTTTAAGCCATACACAGGGAAAATGCAAGTGTGCGCTAATTACCTGAGAGAGTCAAACAGAAAGGGTGAGAAAGGAAAAGAGAGAAACCACCAACAAAACCTCCACGTCTTCTGACCTGCATTATCTTCCTGGTCAACACAGTGCAGCATTGGCCTGCCCTTATTGTGTTGCTGCTCCAGTCTGACATGTTTGGTGGCAGTTCAGCTTTGATACGACAACACTCATTTAGCCATTCAAGTCCACTTGTCTGTGTGCTTCATTGTGTTCTCTCAGTCCTCGGACCGTTTGCTTTCATTTGGATCTGAGCGGGAAAAGAAAAGAAGGGCGGTCCCACTGGGGGAGGTTTCTGAGTGATCGACATTGTCTGAAGAATTGCTGTAAAGCGCTGGCAAGCTAATTGGACTCTTACCAAATCAGAGCCCCCATCCAAAGTGTGTTTCAAATTAACCACTAACAAAGTGTGACTGAAAGGCCTTTAAAGTTTCAGCTCCATGCTTAGCTCATCTTCTCTGAAACACAATATCAGAATTTTGAAATTACGAATAATAAATATAATAAAAAAACAAACAACTCCCTACCTTGCTGAGTTGCATCAGAACCTGCTTATTGTCTCTGCTGGGTGCGAAGGCCATAGCTCAAATTGCCTCAGTCAAAGCATCTATGCTCTTTGTGTGCAACAATAGAAGGTGACAAAATATAAAAGACAGCTTTTCTAAAATGTCAGACGGTTGGGGTCCTGCT